TTTCCTGTGAAGATTTAGTAGGCATTCTTCCACAATTGAGATGGAGTCCTTATTCCTTGTCCTATCTCATTAAAAGAGATTTGTTTTTAAACATCAAATTTCTCGTGTGGTTATCTTTACAAATTGGATTTATACAATTTTATATTCATAGGCAGGAAAGCAGATTTTTACCAAAACTATGTAAACTGATGTAAAAAATGAATTATGAAGCTTTATACAATGTTTAACCATTGTTCTAAGCAATTTCTACGCAAGGCCAATTACTATATTCGATATTTTTCTGTAGAACTATTCTTTTAAAAAAGTTTTTTATTATTTTTATTAGTACATATTTGCAGTATAGTATATAATGATAACATTCATTGTGGTTAGTTGGTACATATACGGGACACATATTAAGTCTTTTTTCATCTCATTTCCCACTTTTCTTATCCTCGTTTTTCCATCTAGTACCTTTCCCTTTGACAAAAATCAGTCTCCCTGTTTCTTATTATCTGTCTTGTTTTGCTTTTTATTTGTACTTTGGGTTTCTTAAATAAGAGAAACCACATGATATTTAAGCTTGTATATCAAATTTATTTCACTTAACATTATGATCTCAAGGTGTAGCTATTAGCACTATTCTTAAAGTATTTCTAGTACTTCATTCCTTACTACTTATATTAATATCTTTCAAAATAAGAGTTGGGTGGCCTTTAAGAAGAAAAAAGATCTGGCCAGGCCTGGTAGCACATGCCTGTAATCCCAGTACTCAGCAGGCTAAAGCAAGAGGAGTGCTGTGAGTTTGAGACCAGTCTGGACTCCCTAGTGAATTTAAGGCCAGCCTGAACTACATAGTGAGACACTGCCTCCGAAAATAAATAAATAAATAAATAAATAAATATTTTGTAGGCTCTTTTTCTTCTGAATTTTCAGGATGTTGGATCAGTGTGTTGCTTAAATTAGTATTTATACAAATATTTTAAATTGTGAAAGTGATAAAGAATGCTTTTCTCTTTATGAGCATTTAAATATAAAATATTAACCACAATTAAATCATTTCACTTAGTACTTGGTAAATATTTATTTTGCTAATCTTGGATTAGGTAAACTACTTATACAGAATGAACTGTCTGCTCTGCACTTAAAAGAATCATGAATATCTTGACCCATTCCCTTGATACAGTTACAACAGAGTTTATTCATGAGGGTGTTACCAGCATCCATGTAATATAGTATGTTATGATGATTTGGTATAGTTTCTTTTTTTTTTTTCCTTCCCTTCTGGGACTTTCATGTGCTACGTAAATGTTCTTATCACTGAGTTACATCTCAAGTTCTTTTGTTATAGATCTATAGTAAGGATTTTAAAATTATTTATTTAGAAGATTTCCCCCTTCCCCTATAATAGCAAGGATCTTATTTCTTTTGTCTCATGGGTCTGGGCCTGCCTGTTTGTTCTCTGCATTTGTATGCAAATAATCATTCTTAGAATTTTATTCTGGTTGTAAAGAGTCATGGGAATTTCCCTCACTTATAGGATCCTTTTTGCCTATGTGGTGATTTTTGTTGTTTTATTCTTTGAGGGGAGTGGACCATGTGATGTGGTAGCTTTCCAAAAAAGACTATATGGAATATATACATATTTAAATACAATGTTTGTTTGAAATGTTTCATTACATAGTTTTTTGCTTGATCGATAGTTTGGCTGGGTATAGAACATTAGCTTGAAATGATTTTCTTTTTGAATTTGAAAGCCTCCTAAAAACTGAGACACATTTTTTCTTTTATTACTTCTGCTGAGAAAGCTATCATTATTCTTATTCTATTTCTGTTCCTCAGTAGAAGCATGTAGAAACTTAATAGTCTCCAGTGTTCTAAATTTTCATTGTTGCACATCTTAGTATGAATCTGTTTATTATTGTTTGTTGGCATTCATTGGGCTCTTTTGTCTGACAATTTTTGCTCATACATTTTGGGAATATTTCTTTTTCTTTCCCTTCCTCCCTTTCATTTTCTTATCTTGTGTGCAGTGCTGGGGACCATCAAACTGAGGGCCTTGTACATGCCAAGTAGGTATTCTACTACTGAGCCACAACCCCAGCCCTGGACATTTTTCTGAAACGATCTCGTTGATAATGTTTCTCCATTTTGTCATTCTAGTTTTTTTCTGCTTTCAACTTTGTCTTTTTGTTCATGTAAATTTCTTCAACTTTATCATCTAGTTGTATTGTTTTTTATTTTTCTTATATTCTATCAATTTCTGTTTTTCATTTCTTGCCTATATAGTATTCTAGAACTCAAGTAGTTGTAGTAGTAAAGGGTGCATTTTTCTGTTTATATATTTTTTTGGTAGTTTTTTTCCTTTTTGGCACAGTCTGTTACTTTATGTGCATTTTTTGGTGGTGGTTTTGGTGTCTGCCTTCCATGTTAGAAACATTTCTCAATTGCCCTCTTTTTCCTTGGTTGACTTCATAATGTGATGTGGAAGATTAAAAAGTTGACTGGAATATTTAAATTCGGCAATTTTGAACTTTCCTATAGGATAATCTGGGTGGGTCATATTTGGGAAGCTCTCCACAAGACCTTAGGTCTTGTGCCTCATGCTGCTCAGATGCCTCCAGAAAATAGTCAAATAGTCTCCTATTTTCCTACGTGAAGAATAAAAGTTTGGCAATATGGAAAAAAGCGATTAGAGATCTCTGCAGTTATTTACCTGTTTTTATATGGTACTCATTTTATTTATTTATTTATTTATGTAATTTATTTTACTGGGGATTGAACCAGGGCTCACATATTAGGCAAGTGCTCTACCACTAAACTGTGTCCCTGGGCCTGGTACTTCCATTTAACTGTTCTATGTACATAATATCTCTTGTGCAGTGCCTATAAAAACACTAAAAACTGGAAAGTACTCCATAAAAGGTATTTTTACAACCTTTGATTTTCTAGTGCAGAGACTTTTAGCTAACACTAAGGTGATTTTTTCCTAGAAGATAAGAATATGTAGAGATCCTAAAAATAAAGGTTCTTAGGGGTATGGACATTTTTGAGATTTTTGTGGTAGAAACAAAACAGTGGATGTGAATTTCAATTAAACATGTATTAGGCAAATGATAGTTACATGCTGCAGAAGAGAATGAAAAATTGTGAATTTTGTTCCTATAAAAGATTACTAATACAAAGCCATAAGTAATGAAATGTGGTAAGTGCAGTGATGATATGAATAAATGATTTTGTGAGAACAATTTTACCTGGTTTGGGGGATGGCCATAGTAAAAAGAAAGAGTAAGAAGTTGTCAGTGTTAAAATAGTTTAGGTGGAGTCATAAATAGGATTTATGAGGTGAACTATAATAGTTTCTTTGGGATAGGAGTTAAAGTTTGGCATTTATTTGTACCAGTTGTCTGAATAATAGTCTACAACTTTCCTTTCCCAACTGTTTCCATCAGACAAGGAAACAATGACTGTATGAAGTGGGAATAAAGATCTGTGGGGTGGGTCTGAGTATAGTCTGCATTTATGTTTCAGATTTCATCAGTTTTGTAACATTACTCTCTGAACCTGTTTGTCCTGTCACAAATTGGTAATAAAACTTGTGGCGGTGTGCAAATTAATTGAGATAGTTTAGTGAAATAGACTTATCTTCCTCATCAGGTAGCTCTAAATATTTGTAAATCCCTTCCACAATAAACTTATATCCCAATGCTACAGTAATTTTTATCTGTCCTTGACTTTCCCAGTTCACTGCTATTTTGTTTTTAATGGATAGATTTTCCTTGAGCCACCCTCAGAATTTCAGTTATGTTTTTGAAGAATTATTATGGCTTGGATCAAGTATAACTTTTTTTTTATATAATACAGCTATCTAGTTTGCCTCATGGAAAATGAATAATGGCCTTTTTAATGCTCAGAAATTAAAAACTTATTACAGAAAAAATTCAAACATAAACAAATAGAATAACTCTTGTGCTCCTCCTTCAGTTCAAAGGTTTATCATTTCATGGGGTTAGTTTCCATTTAATTACTATATTTCTACCAACATCACCACAACCCTTCATGAATTTTAATAAATACTTACATTTAGTGATAGATAGAAATAACAAAAAATTGCTAAATTTTAGGAAAGTAGACCAAGGAAGAAGAAAAGAAAACATGGATTCTAAAGCTGATGTGAATTGAAACCAAACAGGTTCTTTTTGGGGGCTTTTCTTGGTGGCTTTTTACTGCCATGAAGAAGGGGATACTCTCTCAAACTTTCTTCGTAACATGTGCACTTTCAGACTGGTTTGTTTTTGTTTTTTACCTTTTGACCTTATTTTTTTTCCCCCCAGAGTCGCCTACATTCTTTATTTGATTTTCACTAGCAGTCAAACGTTGTGGGTTTGCTGGCGGGGGGTGGTGGGGTGGTGTATGTCTCTGTCAGGGCATGAAATAAAATGTGCCCTGGGACCACTGACTTACCTGGGGATGTATTTATGACCATCTGCACAACGACAGAGAAAAAAACTTTATATTTAGTATAAATTAGTTATCATCTGTCTTAGTTCTAGAGATATTGTCAAGACTCAATAATTTGATTGTAAGCTTTAACAATTCTCATAGAGTTGAGCTCTTAGATTCATTCTGTGGGTAAAATTTTAATTAGCATGATGTGAATTGAAATTAATTTGATCAAATTATTATCAGGATTTAAGCAACTTAATTTTCTAGAAATTATGAAATCAAAGTTGTCTTCATGGTAAAAATAGTATAAAAGGTTAAAAAAAAAAAAGGCCTTGAGCAGGGTTTGTCTTTTTTTTTCCCCCCTTTCTGGACTGAAATGGAGGCTTGCTTTCAGGCGAATTCCCTGATGTTTGCTCTGTGTGATTTGGCTCTATCTCTGTAACTGCTAATATGTGGCATGGATTTCAAATTGGGATCTGGATGTGCTCAAAGTCTGTATTGCAAGTCGGGATTCACAGGCATTATGTTACAAAACTGGCTTGCTGCCTTGTGTGTTCTTTTATTGTGTTCTGAGTAGCTGCATTGTTTGTTGCAGTATATGCATTAGCTGTTGTCTGTGTTCAGTTTCCTGCAGGCTGACATAGTGGGAGGGGCTTTGTTTGATACATAGCAGAGTTTTCACTGTGAGAGTTCTTGAGTGCACATTGCAGCCATCTTAATTACATTTTTGTGCAACTGAGACTGTGCAGCTGTCTCAAAATGGCTGCTAGCCTAGTCTTTGTAGCTGTTTAGGCAGCAAGTATGCCAGTGAGACTTGTCACATGCATCAGGACCAGAGGTAAGAACCAATTACTTTTTATCTTTTAGTATTTTAATTAAAATATTTGAACATAACTGGTTTTATATAGGAAAGCAGACTTAGAGCTTGCTTGCTAAAAAAGTTGAAATGCTTGCTAGAACCTGCAATCCTATATTGTGGAAACATACCCTGGATGGTGAGGTCAAAGGTTAAATTCCTGTAATTTCTCACCATTTTATGTTCTGTCATTGCCAGAACATTTGATCACTCTGATAGTGCTTTTCTAGCCCTAATTAACTTAATCTTCCTTTTGTGTTGAATATATTTGTTTGATATTTATTTGTAGAAATTCAAAAATTAAATTATCTGAATAATTTCTTTTAAAAGTCATAAAAACCCATGTTTTATACACAAAGTATGGTTTCTCTTATGTGTTATGAGGTATTTTGTGGCTTTCTAGAAAGAATGGTAATACTGTGTATTACTCTTAGAAGAAATTTTAATACTGTTTTGTCCTTTTTTTTAATCCTTTGAGTTATTTGGGTTATAATTTTTTCTCATCATACAGACTCCTTCCAGTATCCACCTTTCACATTTTTTTAATGATGCTTCATTTTTTTTCTTCAAATTGCTTAAGTTGGCATACAGATTCAGATTTTGAATTTAGAAATAAATTCATATCTAGGCCTACATAACCCCCTTTTTAAATATTCAGTGTATTCTGATGCCAATAGAGTTGGACTAAATAATCAATTATTTTATTTAACTAAGTGGTGATATTATGTATATTTAAAAGTAATACAACAATGATTTTGTAAATTTAGCTTCAAAAGTTTCAAAATCTTTCTTAGCATTATGATGTAGTAACATTTATTGAGATACTGTAAGTCTGTGGTTACCTAGAAAGTTGGAAGAATGAAGTTCTTTTTAGGTTTTTTTGAGATAGGGTCTCACTGTGTAGTTGAGACTGACCTGGAACTCACTGTAGCCCAGACTGGTCTCAAACTCACAGCGATCCCCCTGCCTCAGCCTCCTGAGTGCTGGGATTACAGGCGTGCATCACCACGCCCCGGCGAGAATGAAGTTCTTATTCACATAGTATTTCAGAAGGCAGAACTGTGTTTTGCTTTAAGCCATATTTAAATCGCAGTACTTATTAAATGTTTTTCTAATGGTATACTATACTCCTATGGTATTGTCAGTGGGTAAAGTATTATGACTATATCCCTGACCAAGATGACATAGAACAGTAAGTTCTTAACATTGTGAATAGAGTGACATTCTAGAAACAGCAACTTTTTGTGTTAAATTTTTAGAGAACCTCCTCGAAAGGGTATCTGGTGTTTTACTGTTGTATACTTACTTTATAGGGTAAATTTATAGCTTTTGTTTTTCATAAGTATATTTAATAAAATGAAAACAATTAGGTTATGATTAAGAAAACCTTAAAATGAGGTCACATATATAATTATGTTATTGTGTAGATTTAGTTTTGTTATATAACTGCAGCCTTTAAGGCACTGTCGAATTCAGTTTGAAAATTATTCTAAACTGTATCTTCTTCATGTTCTTTTTTTATTTTGATGAAGGTAAACCATATGATCTATAATTTATAATTAGTAGTTTAAAATTGCTGCTTTGTTATAAACTTGTGTTTTTACTTGTTCTTAGGTTTTTTAAAAAAATAAAATAGTTTTTCCTCACTTAATCTAGTGGAACATGGAGAATTTTCATAATTTGAGTATTAATTTATGTAAACCATCCAGAAGCATGTGAACTTGCCCCTGAAAAAGAAAAAAGAAAAAAACACTAAATGTGGGGGATTTTGTCCATCACTCCTTTCAATGAGATTTTGTTCCATAGTATGACATAGAGAAGTTAATGTGCCGTGACCTTAAATCACTTTATTTTTCATGTTTTTCTTGTAAATAGCTCACTTTCTTATAGGCAAGGGTGGAGGGAGAAGAAATTCTTGTATTTAAAGTATATGTATTTAAAAATACATATATTGTGAGCCATCGATTTGTTTGGAATTCTTTAATATTGAGGAAAAACTGACTAGCAATTATATTGATTTTCAGATTGGGATCAAGGGATATTTTAGTGATATAATTTTTTGGCCTTCAATTGCTAACTATAAAATTTACCTTTACCTTTTGTTAGATTATTGTTTGTACGTGGGGAAACAATAAACAGTCTGGTTATTCCTTCATTGGTGTGCACATTTTTGCAACTGTAAACATAAACTAGACTTAACCAGAATTATTATTTTGGAGTCGGTAACAGTTTAGATTTTTCTCTGCCAATTACAGGTTACCTTATTCTTCTGGGTAATAGAAGGCATATCTGGAAGTTGAAAAAAACTAGGCCTTGAATTCAAATCAGAGTTTTATATTGTTACTTCTTTTTATCTTCCTCATCTCTTTACTCTTTTCATAAACTGTTTTATTAGCATATTTCTCAGGGAAATGTTGGTGTGATGGAACTGGATTAACTGAGGGCCCAGTCCTGAATTTGCATACTGTTTCGGCCACCTTCTGATACTGACCAGCTCATTCCATTTTCTGATTCTTGTTTCCTCATCTATAAAATGGGGAAAAAGTTCCGTTTTTGCAGGCATATGCTGATAATCATTTTATATAATGTTTCCTGATAGTACTGTGAAATATCCTATAAATATAGGTCATTCTAATTTTTCCAGTAATTTGAATGCTTTTCATTTTATTGCTTCTCAATTGTCATATACTTTGTCATGTGTGTCTAGATCAGTAAAAAACATGGTAATTCCTCATAATTGATGCTCAAAAGCAAGAAGTTCTAAGTAGCATAACTATATCCACTTGGTAATGTTATATATTCATATCAGTGGTAGTGTGGGTGCTAATCATTTCCTATGTATAGTTAGTTAATTACACGTATTTCTTAGGTAAAGACAATATAGAATGTCGGCATTAATATAATTAGAGATATAGGAGAAATGTTCTGGTTCTAATCTGGCAAGTCTTCCAAATACACTGTGAGAAAATATAACTTATCTAAATAGGTTATTTGAATCAGGGGTTAGTTTCTTCTTTTCAGTACAAATGAGCTTCTTAAGAATGGTGAAATTTTCTTTCAGTGGCCACAAACTGGCAGGCACAAGCCGTATTTGTATCTTTTAGCCATTGCCCCATTTCTCTAGCTGTTTACATTTGTTGTCAGATTTCATACAAAAATCTAGATGTCTTACCTTTTGAAAAACAGAAGATTGGGCAATGCTGGGTCTGCATTTCTCCTTGAGAACAATAGCCTACATTGAATAATACATGCTGTGTCTTTCAGACAGGGCTTACTCTTGCTCACATTTGGTCCTCTTTACTGATTTTCATTACTTGCCTGGTCCCTGTGGACAGTTTCTTTTAAAAATCCCATCCTACTTATTTAATGAAGTATTAGCAGCTTTAAATATTTAAAACATAGCTTCTAATCCAGAAGAAAGTAAGCATAAGTAAAATTTAGCCTACTCTACTTGGTAGGAGAGACTTAGCATATGTAAAATCAGTTTATTATTGGAAGGAGTGGCACCATTGGTAACCTTTGACTCTTATTTATTTATTTATTTTTTTTTTGGTACTGGGGATTGAACTCAGAACCTTGGGCTTGTGAGGCAGGTGGCAGAACCACTGAGCTAAATTCTTGGCCAGATTCTGTGTTAATTTTCATGTTAGAGTACCAAAGGGGCTGATTGACATCAGGCAAAAGGACATTCAAAGAGAAGAGATTTTTTAAATGTTCCTTGCATAAGTGCCTTGAGGTCTTTTAATATGATGATCATTCTCTTCTGTAAATACTGCTACTTTGTTAAAGACAGTATTGCTTACCAACTAGATACTTTTAATGGTGAAGTGAAATTATATTCCAGATATTCAATTTATAGAACAGGTAAATGAAATAAATTGTATGAAAGATTTTTGGTCAACTTGATTGAGCATGTTTTAGCTTTTAAAATAATGAGGACATTTCCTAAAGTGTTTTTAACTGCAGATGTTTTCCAACAGAAATTTTTCTTAACTAGATAATGTAAGAGGCCATTATAAACTTATTTTTTGAGAATTCACATTTATTTAAAATTATTAATTTAACTATCACAATTATGTGAAGACTACTTTGATACATGAAACATGGTAGTTTATAATCTTAGTCTCACCTGAATTTGAATTTTGCCTTTTCCCTGAGAATGTGTGTCTGTGTGTGTGTTTGTGTGTGGAGTGTAATGGGCGACTGAAATCTGGATCTTCACACTGAGCTACATCCCAAGTCCCCAGCTCCCACCCGCTTTTTAAAAAATTTAAGACAGGGTTTTGGTAAGTTGCTAAGGTACCCAGTCTGTCTTCAAACTTGTCCTCCTATTCCTCAGTTACCCAGAGTGCTGGGATTATAAAAAGCCAGCTTCTTAAATATAACACCCTGAGGTTGGTAACTCCAAAGAAATGCTCAAAGAATTCCTTTTTGGGAAATAGCTTTCAAATAAAGCTTTAATGAACATTTGAAGAAGCGATTTAACTTGCACAGGAAACATGGACACACCTGCTTAAAACTGCTACTCAGTTCCAAAAGAGAAGAGTTGGGAGAAAGGATAACTTTTATTCAAGTAAGTGATAGTTTTTTTAAAAAATCATTGATAAACTTTCACAAGTTTTCTTTGTTGGTGATTTGTAACATTTTTGTTACTGGTCATTAACCTGTGAGTACGGAAATAGCCAAAACAGCCTTAAGTGACTGGTGAATCTATTTGGCTGAACTGAAAGAGGGAGGTTAACACTAGAGAGCTATCTGAGGCTTTTGCATCTGCCTGAGGGTGTTTGTCTTTCTTTCTCAAGTAAGCCAGGTTGCAGCTACCTTTGAAAGTCTCTGAGTGATGCTCTCCCTTGTTGGAAATAGAAATACCATAGAGTGCATAGTGGAAAGCATTAGTATAGAAGTCAGGAAAGATTATTGCTGCTCTGGTAATGCTATTGTAGTTTTCGGTAAATTAGGAAACCTTTTGTGCCATTCCTTGA